AAGAGTCCCACGAGCGCCTCCAGAAGCAAACATGTCCCCATTCCCTTCGGAAAACGACCATGTTTACGATATTCACATCTTCGGCGTCGATCGCGTCGAAGATGGCCCCAGGAGCCGACTGTATCGCCCCAAGACGGCCAGAGAGAGTTTCAAGAGGCCTCCAAGACAGTTCCAGAGGAGCCCTCGATTGTCCAGGAGGCCCCCAAGACGGCCCCAGAGGGCCCCAGGGGGCCTTTGGGCCGCCCCCCGAGACAGCCCCAGACAGCCCCGAAACGCCACCCGAGTGCCCCAGAGGTCTCCAGGCGCCCAAGAGGGCCCAGAATTCCCAAATTGTCATCCCAACGCACCGAAGATGGCTCCAAGACGACTTCAGGGAGCCCCCACGACGGCCCAAGAGTCCACCAAAAGGACTACCAAGAGCGCCTCCAGAAGCAAACATGACCCCATCAGTCACCGCTTTAGCGTCGACCGCGCCGTCCTCGTCGCCGGCGTGATCAGCGTCGGCGTCGTCCCTGCCGTCGTCGCTGTCAGCATCGTCTTGAGCATTGCTACTATCATCCTCGCGTCTACCATGATACCGCGCCCGCCCAAGTCGCCGAATCGCATTTGAGCGCCCGCTGGAACGTACCGAGCGGTCAGCGCCACCGCGGCTGCGTCGGTCGCGCCAAACTAGCTGGCCGCTGCGCGCGCGAGCATGCGCGGGCAAGCGCGGCCGCAGAGATGCACCAGCCAACGCCAAGCACTCTCTGCAATCGCTTCCGCATGGGGTTAGCAAGCCAAGTTGCAGGTGGGCGGGCGCGATGTTTGCGCGAGCAGTGGAGTGGGCAATTTCAAGTCTAGCAAGCGATTGATTGCATCGTGTAGACTGCACCGCGTATATTGAAACAAGCGGTATGCACCACCTAGATTGCGCGACGTAGATCGCATGACGTAGATTGCGCCACATAGGTTGTTCAACATCGATGATCTTCTCTAGAATCTACGCCCCCCCCCCCCCCCAGGGGGTTAACGGGCCACCTTCTCGCATCACAATCTCATGCAATTACGTCGCATCGCGCGTCCTAAGCATGAACTCGCGCCACCCCGGGCAGGCCGGCATCCCCCGCCCCCCGTCATCCATGGCAACAGATCAGATACGCGGGCGCTCGTGTATCAACAATCATCAGCTCCGCGAGCCTCTTGCAAACAATGGGACGAGGTGCGCGCGCGCGAATGCAACAACTTGTCAAAAACTTATAAGTTCGCAACGATGTCGGAGTCGAATTCCAGGCACATATAAACCACGTGGCTTCGCAACACCAGCTAGCAAACAAATGTGCGCTCGCAGACCAGAGGTTCTCCTATTTGTTAACCAGATTATGCCAGACGGGCTTTTCGCGCGCGCATGTCAAAATCGCCCGAGCGCCCTTGCGTGCGCGCTGTCGCAATAATCCCCTGCAACAGAAAGGGCGAAGTGCACGCGCGCGTCGTCGCGCGCGCATGCCGAAATATTTTTTTGTTTTTTTTTTTTCTCTCTCTCTCTCTCTCCCTCTTTCTCTCTCTCTACATATTTTTATATATATATATATATATATATATATAAGTGAGGGAGCCGAACGTTCATCCATTGTCCTTGGGTGCGTGGCTGATGTGGGGATCCGCGGTGAGGATTATGCTTACTGCGTTGTTGCGTTGTTGTTTAGTCGTTGTTTGTAGTCGTCGTCCAACCCGCGACCCGCCCGCGACCCGCCCCGCGACCCGCCCCGCGACCCGCCCCGGGACCCACACCGCGACCCACCCCGCGACCCATCCGCGACCCATTCCGCGACCCACCCGCGACCCACCCCGCGACCCGCCCGCGACCCACCCCGCGACCCACGCGCGACCCGCTCGCGACCAACCCCGCGACCCACCCCGCGACCCATCCGTGACCCACGGCGACCCACCCGCGAACCACCCGCGACCCAGCCGCGACCTATTTTCGACCCGCCCGCGACCCACCCACATTGGCTCAACGGAAACATCTGCGCCTGCGGCGGGCTCGTTGTTTAATTTATGAGATTCTGACGCCTGCGGCGGGCTTTTCCGGAGTTTCGCAGTCTGTCGAATCCCCACCGTTCCTTCACTCTTCTCCGCATACGCGAAGTGTTACGTATATGAGTTTATACAGAAAAAAAGCAGATATCTCGTGCGGATTTCAAAAACGAGTGCCCCGAACATGTAATCAAGCACACGTGTTTTTGCAACGTCAGTTTTCAAACAAAAATAAGCATGCGCTCGCGGTCTTGCGGATTCATTGAAAAGCCATTGATTTCCAAATTGTTTAGTAACTTCTGCCATAGGGCATTTTGCTCGCGCCGCGTGCCGAACTCATTCGAACGCTTTGGCGCGCGTGCTGGGGGGGGTACGATGCGCGTCAAATGATACGACGCGGGCCACTCGCGCGCGTCGGCCGCGCGCCGATGTCGAACTTCTTCAACAAACCTCATCGCCGACGCGAGGACATCGTCATCGTCATCGGCGGGCGTGATCAACATCGGCGCCGTCATTGGCCTCGCCGTCGTCACCGCCACCATCGTCACCAGCATGGTGATGTCCATGATCCACTTTACCGTTGTCGGCGTCAACATGATACCGCGCCCGCCCAAGTCACCGACTGCACTGAAGTGACCGCTGGAAAGTGCCGGCTGGTCAGAGCCACCGCGGCCGCGTCGGTCGCGCCAAATTAGCTGGCCGCTGCGCGCGAGCGTGCGGGGGCTAGCGCGGCCGCAGAGATGCACCAGCCAACGCCGAACATTCATCGCAATCGCCGCCGCATGGGTTTTGCAAGCCATACATACACACCTATGAATACATACCATATAAAGAAATACCGCCCCCCCCGGCCCCGGGTCCCACACCTCCCCGTGACATCTCGGGGACGCTCCCGGTACCGCTCCCCCGGCCTTGCCGGGGAGACTTCAAAGCGCCCCAGGAGGGCCCCTAACGCCTCCCAGGAGCCCCCTGAAATGCGAAACGATGGTCCACGACGCTCCCAAGCAGCACAAGTCAGCCTTCGCGACGGCGCTCGAGGCTTCCCGGTGGCCTCCAAGAGACCCCAAGAGAGGTCCGAAAAGCGTCCCGGGAGGGCCCGGAGAGGCCCAAATCGTAGATTTTCATAATTTGTTCCTCTTATTTGGGGTTTCTCGCGTTTTCGAGCTTCCAATGGTCCAGGAACGGCGAAGAGGTTCCCAAGACCGCCCCAAGACCCGACGAGGCTCAAGAGCGGGAGCAGGATGCTTCTAGAGACCTCCGAGAGGCCTCCCGGACCACCCAGAGGCCCCCCACCCCCCCCCGATCCTTGAGAGGCCCCAAAAGACCCCCCGACGAGGCTCCAAGAACAGCCCAAGAGAGCTGCGAGAGCCGTCCCGAGAGAGCCCAAAGAGGGTCAAATCGTTAATTTCCAATGGTTTTTCCAATGTGTTTGGCCTTCTCACGTTTTCTCGCTTCCAACCCTCAAAGATCGAGGATTTTGAAAACAAAGGAGATTACAAGAATTCCTTTTTTTTTCAAAGTGGAACTCCTACTCGGGGGTACTACACATCCCCTGACATCTGGCTGGTAATTATCGCGCCTCCCGGTTTCTAGGGGAGACCCCGAGACGCCGAAGAACAGCCCATGACGACCCCAAGAAGCTCCCAGAACGTAAAGAACGCAGGCTGTGTCGCGTCATTTTGTTGACGGTTCCGTCGGGCCAGTCCGAGTCCCCCGAACCCGAGTCTTATGTTTCCCCGACACACGGTGAGACCGCGTGGTGACGGGGGCAGAATTCGCCCGCGCCTAGTTTGTTGCAACAGCGTCGTATTGAAAATCCAGTGGTGCACCCACCCGGTTGCTCCCATCGACGTTTCCTCGAGCATCATGCGAAGGTCGATCCAGATTTCTGGCAAGATCGTTGCATACACAGTTCAGCACAGGCGGGAGTAAAAGGTTTGCAGCCGCGCTTCCCGAACTCCTCCGCTATTTGCCTCAGAGGCCCCACGGATGACCGCGCTAGCAGCACGCGTTTTGATTTGTACACGCGTTGAGTCCAGGACAAGAGTCGTTGTGGGAAGTCGGGGTCACCGCACGGTTTGGGGGCTCGGGTCGCTCTCCGAGGTCGCCTCGGGCGGCTGGGGCCTCCGGGTCTTAAGACCGTGCGGTGACGAACTGGGTCGTGAGGTCTCTTGGGATTTCGAGGTCACCGCGCGGTCCGTCACCACACGGCCTTTTGGGACCCTCGACTTTCTGCTTTTGAAATTGGCAATTTCTTCCGCCCCGAGTACAGGACGCCGACGACCGCGGCGGCGTCGACAGCACGAGACGATCGCCATGAATTGGCGGCGAGCCCAGGGGGAATGCGGAGGGGGAGGGCCTTCTCAGAAGACTCCGAAGGCCTCGGGCCTTGGGAACAGTTTTACGAGCCTTCTCCGAAGACACAGACGGCTCTTCAGAAGGCCTGGGGTCTCCTAAGAAACCCCGCCGTTTTCTGAGAAGGCCTGCTCCTTCTCACTTCCCCCCAGGCGCGCCGCCGAATGAAGGAAAGGCGTCCTGGAAGCTCTTCGCCGTTTTCGGGCTCCTGGGGCCCCTTCCCCAGGCCCGGGGACCGTCAGCAAAAAGGGCTCGGGCTCGAGAGTTGGCGAGGATGGCGCCTCTGGAAGGGATCCGGGTCTGACAGCAGAGAGGCCGCAGGCGGGCACGCGTGTGTGTGTGTGTGTGTGTGTGTGTGTGTGTGTGTGTGTGTTCTGAGTCACGTGCGGGCACGTACGTGGTGGCAGCTCACCCTTCTCCTCCTCCTCCTCTTCGCCTCCTCCTCTTCCTCCTCCTCCCCTCATCCTCCCCCCTTCTCCTTGTCTTCGCCTCCGAATGCTACTGTTCCTAAGTACTACTCACTGCTCCTCCTCAATCCTTCTCCTCCTCCTCCTCCTCCTCCTCCTCCTCCTCCTCCCCCGTTTTCCTTGTTCCTCTCTCCTCGCTTCCCCTGCACAGGGTACCAACTGATCTATGGGGTATCGCGATTCTGTGCGAGGCGCGACAACCCTCCTGGGGCATGGAGGATGTTGTTCTCGCTGGCGCTTGGAACAGGCGGGCGAAACTCTCTCGCTTGCACTGCTCGACGTCGTCGTCGTCCTCCTGCTCCTCCTCCTTTTCTTCTTCCTCTCTTCTCCTACCTTCTCCTTCTCCTCCCTCATCCTACCTCCCTTCTTCGTCTTCTCCCCTCCGTCTTTATTTTCTGCAGGGCTACCAAGTCCCTCTTCCCTACGCTTGGCGGGAGGGCCCAAAGAGGCCGACATCGTCGATTTTGAATAGTTTTTTTCATGTTTTGGCCTTCTCGCGTTTTCGAGCTTCCAACGCTCCAAGCACGTCGAAGGGCTGCCCACGACCGTCCCGAGACCACCCAAGAGTCCCTCAGGACGGCCCAAGACGGGCCAAGAAGGCTCCAAGACTGCCGAAGAGGCGATCAGGACAGCCCCAGACCACCCCAGAACAGGCCCAAGATGGGCCCAAGAGCGGGAGTAGGATGCTTCCAGAGACCTCCGAGAGGCATCCGGGACCACCCAGAGGCCCTCAACACACCCCCGATCCCTGAGAGGCCCCAAAAAGACCCCGACGAGGCTCCAAGAACAGCCCGAGAGAGCTGCGAGAGCCGTCCGGAGAGAGCCCAAAGAGGGTAACATCGTTGATGTCCAATGGTTTTTTCCATTGTTTTTTCGCCTTCTCACGTTTTCCCGCTTCCAACCCTCAAAGGTCGAGGATTTTGAAATGAAGAAAGAATTCCCAGAATCCAATTTTTTTTCAAAGGGGGTTTTCTACTCGGAGATCCCACACATCGCCTGACATCTGGCCGGCACCGCGCCTCCCGGCTCCCCGGGGGGGGCCCAAGACGCCCAAGGACAGCCCAAGACGACCCCAAGGAGCCCCCAGAAACTAAAGAACGGCCCAACATGCTCCCACGCAGCCCGAGACACCCTTCCGACGGCTCTCCACGCCTCCAGGAGGCCTCCAGAACCCCCAGGGGGTCCGGAAGATCCCGCACCCCTGAGGGGCCCGGCTAACAAAACCCGCGAGGCACAAACAAAAAACAGCGCCGAACAGCGCCGAGGAACTGGAAAAACATGGAAATCCCACTATTCCTTTTTTTTTAGTTCGGCCCCCAGTCTACTTGCACAACAGACCACAATTTAGAACCTCCTCACATCCAAAAAAAAGAGCCCGGGAAGCTTTTGACGGCCCCAAATCGTTGCATACCTAAAAAGGAGATTCATGATTTTTGCGTTTCCACACTTCCCCTTCTATACGATTATGAGGCTTGCGCAGGGCCTCCAAGGGAGCCCCTTGACGCAAGAAACGACCAACATGATATTTCATGAGTTAACCTATCAAGCCTAGCTAGAACTTGAGCGCGCGCGAAGCGCGCGATTGTTCTGGTATATGCATATATGTATACACACCTACTGCACCACAACATTTGTACCACCTAGATTGCACCACGTGTACTGAAACACGTATTTTGCCCGACCTAGATTCTCCAACACATATCGCACAATATAGGTCGCACGACATATAGTGCGCAACGTGGATGGCAAAACATACGTCGCACCACATTGAATGCACCACATAAACTATGGCACCGTTGATGTTGCACCACGTGGATTGATTGCGCCACGTAGTATGTTTTCCACATGTTCTGACCACACATATAGCCAGAAACACATCTTGGGGACCATGTTGGCGAACATATTGGTCGCACGTATTCACGCTTCTGTTTTTCAAATGGATGGCGCAATGCGTTTCCTTCTCGTAAACGAGGCTCCCCGTTGAATGGCACGCACTGGGGCACATGTTTTTCAAGCGGACGCCTCCCGCAGTGAAAACGAGTTACGTGCCAGGATTCTGGGGGGAATGGCAGGGGCCATCGGGCCAGGGCACCCCACCCAAGACGCTTTCAATGTTGTTGCGATGATCTTTCAGACTTACGGGTTACCACCGAGAGAGTAAGGCACACCCGGCTCCGTCTCGCCAGGAGGCCGCCCGGAACTTGGATCGTGCCGCTTTGCAGGCCGTCGAATTCTTTGAGACTGCCCCTTGGGAGTCGCACGTTCCCACCCGACGTTCCAACCCTTGTTTCGTCCTCCCTTCGAGCGTCCCGCATGCCGCCCCGGCGGTCGCGCCGTGCGCCCCGCCCGGACGATGGCGTTGGCGGCGTGACCGCCCGCGCTCTCGGGGGCGACCAGCAGGCGCTGCTGAGCAGCCTCGACCTGCTGGCCTTCGGCGCTGGCAAGATTGCGGTGGCCGCGCCCACGGCCCCGCCGCCCGCGCCCGCTGGCGGGAGCGCCGTGGCCGCGCAGCGAAGCGCCAGCCCTCCTGGCCGTCCAGGGCCCTCCGCTGGCCTCGAAAGTTCCCTGGGGCCGCACGAGGCCTCCGAGGATGCCCCCCCGACCTCCAGAAGCCCCGCCTCGGCCGAGCCCACGCGCGTCCCCGCGCCACCGCGGCTGGCCCTGGGGCTGGCGCCTGGCGCGGGGGCCGAGGAACGGGAGGCTTCCTTGCTGCGCGACGCACTGGCTGCCGACGGCGGCTGCGGGCCGCCCCGCTGGCGGGCGCAGTTGCGCGCGCTCCTGCTCGCGGGCGCACGGGGCACCGTGCAGGGCTTCCACGAGTTCTTGGTGGGGCTGCCCCACTCCGACGAGGGGCGCTTCGTGGGGCTGTGCGCCGCGGTGCTCAGCACTCAAACGCGGGACGCCGCCACCCTCGCCGCGGTCCGGCGGCTGGTGGCGAGCCTGGGCACAGAGGGGCCAAGGAGCGGCCGCGGAGGGCCATGGAGCGGACGCCTCGGGCCGGCGGCCGTCGCCGCCGCGCCCACGGCGAGGCTCGAGGAGAGCATTGCAGGGGTCAACTATTGGAAGACCAAGGCGCACACCCTGCAGGCCCTGGCGGCCGCGCTGCTCCGCGACCACGGCGGCGTCGTGCCGCGCACCCACGGCGAGCTGGTGGCGCTGCCGGGCGTGGGGCCGAAGGTGGCGAACCTGATGCGTTCGGTGGTCTTCGAGGAGGTGGAGAACTGCGGCATGGTGGTCGACACGCACGTACACCGCGTCGCGCAGCGGCTAGGGTGGGCGTCAGGCGCAGGCGGCCCCGAGAGCACGCGCCGGCAACTGGAGACGTTCATCGGCGAGGAGGTTCGGCGATACAAAAGGATGCCCTGCCGCTGGGGTTCCCTCGGGTTGCTTTTGGGCGCTTTTGGGTGCCCGCCCTGCCCCAGTGTCTGGAAGGGTTGTTTTGGGGTTATCGCTGCCCCCCAGAAGCGCAGCGCAACCGCACCCTTGACAAAGGGCACTCCTGGGTAGAGCTGAGAGGTGCGCGAACTTGTCACCAGGCGCATCATCGGCTTCGGGCAGGAGTCGAAGGGACAAACATCTCACGTCAGCACATACTGACTGTCGGATGTCCGCGCGCAGTCCTTGAGTAGTCGTTGGACCCTGGCGCGCGAAGAGCGCCAAGGGGGCGCTGGAGGCGCCGCCAGGCGGGGTCCTGCGCCAACCCGAGAAATCTGCGCGGACATCTGGAAGTTTGTTCCGATAGCGCTCTCTGCTACATACCACACACTGACCCACCTTTGCGCGGCGCGGGGTCTCTCGTGGGGCATGCCACGCGTCCATCTCCTGAGGAGGTATGCCTCCCACAGCGACCCCGCTGCAGCGGCTGCCCGATCGCCGTGGAGGGGTTGTGCCCGAGCGCGCCCGCGGGCGCGTCGGGCGGCGCGGGGTTGGGCGGGGCGGCGCCGGGCGGTGCGGCGCCGGGCGGTGCGGTGCCTGGCGGTGCGGCGCCGGCGGCGCGCTTCGCTGGCCGCCTTGCCACCGGGGGGGCGCCTCAGGGCGAGAACGGGCCCGCTCCCCCCCAGGCCTCCTCGCGCGGTGAAGTTGTCGGAGTTCGGGGGTTGTCGTGTTCGGTAGGTTTTGATGACTGATCTGCCCTTGGGAGCCTCCTCGCCGCCACGTTGGAGTGCAGAGTCTATTTGCTTGTAGATTATGAGCACCTGGCACCTTGTCCAGAATACCGTTCTCAAGTTCTAAGCGTTTTCGGTTTGTAGTCGAACTCGCCTGCGCTGCGTGTTGAGGTGTGGTCTCCGTTTTATTCGTCCCTCGCGGCGGCACCCCCGACGTTTCTGCCCATCGCGTTACACGCCCTCTCTTTAGCCGCCTACGCTCCCATCACACATGCGTGCTGTAGAATTTGTGGGGAAACAAACCAGCGTTTCCATGTCTTCGAGGAGGGGTGATAATTTCCCAGCTTGCGAGGTCGTGTTGTGTCTTATGATTTCATACTTGGGCTCCTTTCCCTCCGGAGCCGTCAGCGGCTCGGGATGGAGAGCCCGTCCCGGGGAAGGGGCTCTGACTTCCGAGGGTCCACGCTGTGAAGACAACGCGACGTCGGAGGCCCACCTCCTCGCCAGGCGTCGGGCTGCCCCCCCCCCCCGATGCCTCCCCCCTCCCCCCTCCTCGTCTGCGCCTCCCCTTTCCAGGCCCCACGACCTGCACCTGCATGGGCCCGCCCGCCTCCTCGGGTGATCGAGCCCCTCGGACCAGTTTCGCCCGCTGCCATCGAGCCCAAGTTAGCGCTTTCCACATGTTGCTCGCCCTCTCTGAGCCTCTGGAGGGGCTTCTCGTCGCCGCGGCCGGATCCGCCCCGAAGTTCGGGTCAGAACGCACCACGGGCAAGTTCTTTGTGGAGGATGACCCTGGCTTGGGCTTCTTCAGCCCCGGCGTTTTCCCTTGATTTCGCTCCGTTGTCGGGCCCTGGGGCCATAAGAAATTGCTCCTGCACGATAGGTGATTCCCAGAGAAAGGGTCAAGACCTCTCCATGGGGCCCGCCTTAGTCATCTGGGAATCAAAGCTCGCGGATCGAGTTTTTGGGCCACTTTCGTGAGAGTTTTTGTGGTCACGGTTGGGCTCTCATTCTAAATTTTGGCCCGGGCGCACGACAGGACACGTCTATGGGCGGATGTTTGGGGGGAGGGCCCACAACTATTCCCTCGCGTCGCTTAAAAATACGGCGGCATTTAGTTTGACAACGTTGTGCCCTCG